TGTTCTAATAGGGCATTTTCACTCGCTGACAGATTATTTACGGCATACGCACCACTTGCCTTCTTATGTGGTTCACTTTTCTCGTGCGATGTGACAGATGACAGACGAAAGTTACTGCTTCCCCGGCGAAATGCATTTTCAATGTTATCTCGGCCACAATCCCGGCGCCATTGACAGAACATAACATTATTTCCATTATCAAAAATAAGCCATGGTCGCCCAGTTTTCCAAATAGGAAAAAATTTCTTCACAACTTTTTTCTTCTTTGCTGGGGGTGTTTCTGACACATCCGCGGTAAGTAGAATTTCACTAGTGGTTTGAGTTTCACTTACAGCGTCAAGATCACGATATCTGAGCTGATATCTGATTCGACACCTTGTTCAGTACGATCCTGTTGGTCTTGTCTGGATGCTGTCCCAGCTCTAGTAAAACCGAACTTGAATAACCCACTCATAATGACAAATTTAAATGTCAAAGAAACGAGCAGACGATCACAAATACATGCTTCGTCTTTGCCCTGATCAACAACCACATGGCATTAGCATAAGTTTTTGTTTCAAGTTCAGTTGATTCCATGGTGTACTGTGGTTGCTAGGCCACCATCCTTTGGTTCTCATGAAACTGTTTCAGCAAATCATAAAATAAACGTCACTGCATCTCATTATATATTTAAATACATCATGAATCGTCACTGCATATGATTAAATATTTAAATGTTTGCAGTCTTGAATACGCGTTGTCACCAGGGAATGTGAAACCGTTTTAACAAGTCTATTTTAGTTGTGTTTTTTTATTCCCGGAAACTGATCGAACACAAATGATTTATCTTGCGAATGTCAAAGTGGTGGTCCAAATGGACCACTGAGAATTAAATTTCGTGGTCCAAAACGAGAATTGGGTGGTCTTTGGAGGCAAGACCACTACTAATTTCGAGCCCTGACATTTCAATTACAGCACTGAAGATATCATTAGAAAATGAACGAATCTGAGGATTACCTGAGGTACCTGTACATATATGTATAGTATCAAAACAATCGAACATGCTGTTTTCAACAAGATTTTGAAAGTATCACTTTTTACCAAAAATTACAAAAATATTGAAGATATCATCACAAAATGAACAAATTTAAGGTCTGCCTGAGGTACCTATATTTATAGTATCAAAGCAATCAGACTTGCGGTCTTTAACAAGAAGTCAAAAATATTCAAAGAATTAGAGAACTGATGATATCATCACGAAATGAACAAATCTGAGAAAGGTCCATATGTAGTACCCATATATGTAATATCAAAGCAATTGGACTTGCAGTTTTCAACGGGGAAATCGAAAATATCACTTTTTACCAAAAATTACAAAAATATTCATCAAAATTAGAGAAATAAAGAT